CCCCCCCCGGCTTTCCCCCCAAATGAACTGTTGAAATTCAGAACCGAGTTTGAATCCCGATGGGGACCTAGATGATTGAATTAACCCCCGATCCGGACCCCAACTTTTACCTGGGGCTTTGCTGTTGAAAATAGATGATGTCTGAAGGGACGTCTCCCTTTCAAAGCAGCGAAGGAAAAGAGAGGGAGAAAAGAGGGAAAAGAGAGGGAAAAGAGAGGGAAAGGAGAAGGCAAAGGGAGGGGGAAAAATAATTATTTTGATTTTTTTATTATTTAGCCCGTCGTTCCCGCCATTTCTCGTGCAGCAGGTTATCTCGTCATTCCCGCCCTTTTCATTCATCCTGCTTGTGCTGTTTTTTTTTTTTTTTTTTTTTTTTTTTTTTTTTTTTTTTCCCCTTTTTGTTCCTCCCCGGTAGGTTTGTTTTTTTTTTTCTATTCCTGGGGTAGAAAGGAAGAGGAAAAAGCAAAAAAAAAAAAAAAAAAAAAAAAGGCGAAAAAAAGAACTTGTGTTTGATTTTGCTCCGGTTTGCAGTATCCAGCTTGTATTGCGGTGCGCAGAGCTTTTTTTTTTTTCCCTTTGTTCGATGAACACGGATCAGATATTTAGGTCGATAAAAATAACAATAATAATAAAAATAATAAAGTAATAATAAATGAATCATCGTAAGAATGAAAGTCGGCGAGTACCGTTCTGCTCTAACAATAAATGTTTATTTTATTTTATTTTAATAAAACCTTTTGTGAAATACCACTGACAGTGGAGAGGCATAACACAGAATTCGGGCCAAAAGAGGGCATTCCGCTCTACCCACATCTGTCAGGGGCATTTTGGCATATATCTCAACTTTATGGGGGATATTTTGCAAATTATCCCTAAAGATATTATTATTATTATTATTATTATTATTGGTATTTATTACCCTTCAGTCACAAAAGCTGAGGAAACGAATCTCGGCCTTTTGGCCAACATCAAGTGCAGAGCAAATTTTGCTCCGATTTGTTTCCTCAGCTTCTGTGACTGAAGGGTGATGGAAAGGTCTGTCCTTGTTTGTTGATAGTCAAGCCACAAATTGAGAAATTCTGCGTATTCTCAAAACACACACACACACACACACACACACACACACACACAAGAGAGCAAGGTGCTGGAGGATTCTTTACTTGCTGACGATAGTCAACCTCTGTCCGTTTTTCCTTTTCTTACCCGAATGGAACGCTCTGGGCGCTTCCGTTCTAGAATCCATGTTTATCGGGCATGGTGTGTGTGTGTGTGT